GAGCGAAGGGATGGGGAGAGTTGCAGAGTGTTCGGAAAGTCAATGAAGTTCCCTTCGGCAGCGTGGGGCCGGGGGGGGCACAGACCTGCGGCTGGGGGAGTTGGTCAAGTGTTAAGATGGTGCCGCTTGTCCCCTTGGGCAAGTCCTGCGGAGTAGGGTTAATTTTGCTGACCTATTTTTGCAAGGGGAGAAGAACGTGGAAGTGGTGAGGTGCTGGTTTAAAATAAGACGGTAAAATCCTGCCGCGCTCTGCAGCTCTTTCCCAAAGCCACAATAACGGACTCGGTTGCAAACAATTTTTTTGCCTCCCTCACCCCCCGTGCTGTTAACTGCCGAAGAAGGAGCTAGAATTTCTCTTTGGCGAAGCATCAGCAGCAGAATTGCTAACTATGTGCCCGTTATAGAAACTTTTTAGTACTGGGGACAAGCCAAGAAAAAAGCCCAGATTGACTCTCAGCTCTCAGCTGGTGCTCGCAGCGCTTCCACCTCGCAGGAGGAGCAGCACCGCTTTGACTCTTGCACCGGTGGGACGCAGGCTGGAGCCCTCGAGCCATTGCCCGGGAGAGTCGGGATGATGTTTCCCGGGATGCTGGGACACCCTGCCCACCTCCCTGCCCATCCAGGAACTCCTGCCCCGCTCTGGCAGGTCGCTTTGGGTATATTTATTATATTTTCTGGTTTGCAGTTGCATAAACCGCGCTGGGTTGCAAGCTCCCGCCCAGGCGCTGCGTGCTCGAGATGCATCGCCACATCCCATCTCTGCACTGGAGGGACTGGCCAGCCTCGATCTGCATCGTCTCGTGCCATCAATCACCCTGAAATCCTTTGCAGCGAGATAATATCGGCTATTGCAATGCCAAGCTTTAGCTCCTGGGGAGGCGGAGGGCCTTTTGGCTCAGATACCGTCTTAATCTGTCAGTGCCGTGGTTTGCTTCTGCAGCAGCTCCCTACCTTGGCAAATTCGTTAGCAGCTGTAAAGGACGTGGGTGGCAATAGGTCAACTGGAAATCTCACCTATTTCCTCGCCCGGAGAGGGGCTGGGTGCTACGGGCAACTTTTGCTGTGAGCAGCGTAACAGCCCTTGCTCCGGGCAAGCGCAAACTGAGGAGCAGCTCCGAGGGCTGGATGAGCTGGGAAAGATCCAGCTGGACTTTTCAAAATCAACCAAACCCGCTTATACCCTGTGCTGGGAAGCAGGCGCTGGGCTGAGGGCTGGGGCTTTGCCCATCACTGTTCTTAGTTTTGGGTTTGAATTTCTAAGGCGAGTGGGGCCGGCAAAGCTGGGCATCGTCCGGTTTCCCTTCACAATCAGGAGAAAGCGCATTTCGTGCCATTTTTCTCCATGCCCTGCAGCAGGCACGGCCGGCAGGATGGGGCTTTTGCTCCGGCTCCATCCCCAGCCAAGCACGGGCATCCCCGGCAGGGCAGAACCCCGCGGCCGCCCCGGCGCTGCCGAAAATGCCGGGGCGCTGCATGTGTGCCGCTTCCATGTGCGCTGGTTTCCAAGGAAACCGCTCGCTCTACATGTGTGTCGCTTAACACCCTATTTGCTTTCATTTGGATAAGTCTTTAATTCCTGTGCAGCCCTAGCTCCGCGGGATCTATTGAGCTGTGTGTGTATCCTCAGCGCACAAATCCCTCTCCTGCCTGCCTGCCTGCCTCTTGAAAACTCCCTGCCTGCTCGGAGCAAGTTTCCTAAACCTGTGCCTAATTGGAGTAGCTGATGCTTTCTGCAGTAATAACTGGATATATCGCTGCTGCTTCCCTCTAGAAACAATTAGCAGGGAAAACACGACACGCAGCGCTGCTGTCATCTGCCACCAGCTCTGCTGCTTTGGCTGCGTTTCGGGTGTTGAAGCAGGGCAGGACGCCGGCACCCGGGGACGCGGGGTGTAAAGCCGGGGGGTAAAGCAACAGCTCCGACCCCTCGGGGAAGGCAGCAGCTCGTTGCGATGGTTAAAAGCTAATTGCAAAGCGCCCCAGTGAGAGGAATGGCTTGGGGAGCGGGGAAGGGTGACCCTTGGAAGGGTGACCCCTGGAAGGGTGACCTTTGCATGAGCCCAGCATTGTCCCCATTGGTGTGACACTGGTGGGACGCACCGTCTCCCCACTGGGTCCCCCAGCACCAGCGGCTCTTCTGTGCCCTGGGCTGAGCGGAAAAGGGTGACGAGGTGTTTGGAGGTGTTTTTTTACCCCAAATTTTCAGCTGTGGTACCCCAAAATGGCTTCTTTTTCCCCTCTCCCCCTTCCTCCAAAGGAAGACGCCACCCGTTCTTCTGCACTGGAGGACTGAGGAATTTTCTGCTCTAAACCCACTTTCCTCCTCTCCAAAAATCCCTGGGGCTGGTTCATGCCTGTAAAGCTGAGCAGCTCCCGTGTCACTCGGGCTGGCTCCTGTCTGGAGCCCTGACAGCAGCTAATGCTGTTAGCCTGTGTCGAGGAGGGATTTCAGCATTAAACCCCCCCTCCCTAAAATCACCAGCACTCTGGCTGCTCTGTTTCTTACAAGCAGAGCCAGCGAAAAACCACCTACCCCGTGTCTGGGGTACGTAGCATCGCTCGGGGACACCGGCCAGAGGGTTTGCCCGGCTTTCGGGGTGATTTTGGGGGGGCCGGCACAGCCCCGGGAGCCGTGCCCGGCTGCTGGCATGGGATGCGATGGCACCTAAGCACCGGGAGATTAACTCGGGTCGTGGAGGGCTTTGCTATCTTTAGGTGGAAGGTGAGGGATTGTGCCTCTTAGGGTGGCCTGCAGGTAATGAGAGAGAAAAATCCCTCGGTCCCAGCCCGGCTTGGGGCCGCTGACCCCGGCTCCCGTCCCCGCGGGGGTCTGGCCTCGCCGGCCCCCGGCCGCGTGCATCGCCACCTTTCTAGGCCACAATCTGTACCGAATTGCGAGCCTGCTGTTAACTTCGCTTGCACTCTATTCTCGTGTTTGCTGTTATTTTTTAACACTTTTTTTTCCCCCCCCTTTTTTTTTTTTTTTTTTTTTTTTTTTGCATAAAAGCACTATCCTCTCCCCAGAGCCTGCCTGTAGCGAAGGCATGGTCTGTACAACTGCAATTATTTCGAAGAACAGATGGAGTGAGGAGCAGAAAGTCTGTTAATAGTAATAGAAATGCTACATGTTAACCTGGACAGCACACGATGACAGTCCCATGACTACACGTTCTGTTCCCACCAGCTGGGCTCCCGAGCAGAGACGAGAGATTCAGAAACGCCGTGCTCAGCTCCGCACCCTCCCCAAAGTTAGAGCTCAAATTCCTTCACACTTCCAGCGCAGGGTTTTTGGGTTGTCGGGCTTCTTCTCCCCCCCTCTCTCCTCCTTCCCATTAAATGCCGATTTCAGCGCCGGCAAGGAATATTGCAGATTTTTTCCGGGATGCTCACAGCGATGCAGTCGGCTGCAGCTGTGAGCACTGTGGGGAGGGAGGTGACAGCTCTGCTCCGAGGTCCTGAGCTTCGGCCTCATGTAGTGGCACCATCACGGCCCCTTTTTCCGCGCAGGCATCTGTATTCTTGGCATAAACCCCCCCCAGCGATGCAAATGCCTTGAGCCAGGCTGGGATTAATGCACCGGGGCAGCAACGCCTTGCCACCCATTCTCCCAGGCAGGACGGTTGCATGAGTTTGGGATTTTCTCTGCAACAGTTGCAAGCTGTTTGCTGAATGGGTCGAAATCCACTGTTTTCTGGTTAAACCGGTTCTTGTCGTGGAGGTGGGGTCTGCAAGGGGGGGTGCTGAGCGATGCAGGGCTCTGGTGGGCTGCAAAGGGAAGGGGCTACAGGGGATCTCTGGGTACGGCAATACCCCAGGGCTTGCTTGCCCCATTTGCCCCAACCAGGGGTTGGGAAATAGAGCAAAAAGGTTGTCTCAACCCCAACAATCTTGCTGTGAAAATCCCTGCCTGGTTTCACAAGCAACCGGGGGATTTAGCCACAGAGCTCCAGCTAATTTCGGTGGGAATTGCATGGCTAAATCCCCCAGCCGTTTATGAAACCTCAGCCCTCGGGCACACTGGAGCCGTGCGTGGCACCGCTGGCGAGCTGACAGATGCACCTGGAGGTTTTATTAGGATATAGATCCCTTAATCTGGGTGCTTGCAGGATAATCTGGTGCCTGAGGTCCTGCCAAATCCCCTGAGATCAGCAGGTTTTCTATCCACAGCCTCCAGAGGTCACTTCAAACCCAGCTCCATCCTCAGGGGACCAAAAAATCCACGTTGTCTCATAGCGCCGGTGGCACCCTTGGGTGCTGGACACCCTTGGGTGGGGACCTGGGGTGGGCTGGGGGGGATGCTGGGGGGCTGAACCAGCATCATCCATGAGTCTTTGGTCTCTTTGCCCGGTTGCCATCGCCCAGGAGAGGTACTGGAATTCCCGGGTACGTGGCGAGGCAGCGGCTTTGCCTTCTTCCAGCATCCCTGGTGCATCTTTTGGTTAGTTTGGGGTTTGTTAGGTAGAGCTTAGCACCTCGCAGCCACCCTCAGGGAGACTGGGGCATCCAGCCTGTCCCCGGCCACCACCCTAGGGCTGGAGCTGTATTTGAATCCCCAAAATATCCCACCCCCCTCTCCCAGGGATTGCCATCCTCGGGGGAAAGTCCCCCATGCCGTGGTGCATCGCTCTGCCCTGCGCCACTGTAGGATGTGGTTAGAGGATGGCTGGCAGGGGAGGAAATTCTCTTTGGTGCCTTTTATTTGGAGATAGCAGAAAACCCCTGTTCTTCCTCTCTTTGAAGAGATTTAGACCGCGAGGAGTAACTCGTCCCGAGCGGGTTTGTGGCCCTCGCGTTCCCCTGGTGCGTGTTCATCCCTCGCCTTCTCTGTGCATTTTGCATGAGCGCAACCGTCAAAGTGTGCGTGCGTGGGAAAGCATGAAAAAAAAAAAAAATATTTTGGGGGCTGATAAAACTCCCGGAGGGTTGCTCCTCGCTCACAGGCCGTGGGTGCAAGCTCCCGGTCCCGCACACCGTGCCCATTCTCCTCTCCTCTCTTGCAGAGCAAGAAGTACGTGCTGGTGCTGGTGGACCCCGACGCTCCCAGTAGAGCCAACCCCAGGAACCGGTTCTGGAGGCACTGGCTGGTCACCGACATCCCAGTGAGTCCCACTCCGTGGGGTCCGTATCTTGGGGTCCCAGCAGCTCGGGGCTTCTCCGAGCGCTGGGGTGCATCGGGCGTTCCTGCCCCGGAGGGTTGGATTCCCACGGGATGCATATCTCTCTCGGTACGGCAGCATCTCGGTGAAATCCCGAAGGATGAGCGTTTGGGAGAGAAATGTAAATGGTGCTCGGCGTGTAGGTAGGGGAGTGCCTCCTCAGGCTATATAGAGCGAAGCTGGTCCAAAAATATTGCTGGTTTTTTTTTTTCTTCTTCTTCTTCTAAGGAAATGCTGAAAAAAACCCGTTTTAAAAACTCCCCACCACCAGTTTTCTCTGCAGAGACAACCGGTCGTTTCAAACATCTCCTACTGCCGGTTTTGGGGTTTTTTTTGGTTAAAAAAGCGGTTTTGGTGAAAATCTCGCTGGTGCCAAATTTTCCCTTTCTTTTTTTTTTTCCTGAAAAAAGCGTTTCCAGCCTGGTGAAGCAAACAGGGGGAAAATGGGTTTGGGCTCAATTCCTGCTGCTTCCCAGCTCCTTGGCCACAGCACAGGCGGATGGGACAGACAGACAAGCCCTTACCCTGCAGTGGGGCATCGCTCCCGAACTGTCCTGGCATATCGCTGGTTTGCTTTCAGAAAGGTTTTGGAAAATCAGCTTGTTCCTCTCTTGCTTGCTTTTATCTTTTAAAAGATAAGGTGTTTCAGCCTTGAATCAATCTAACTAATAATCTTGTACTAAAGTCTAATTAAGATATCAATTAATTTGCAGCATGCATTTAACAAGAAATATCTCGTCATTCTCCTCTATTATTCTCTGAAATTACTGCTAAGGGCTTTTTGTACAGATACCTTAATTAGACTTTTTATTGTTAATGGGAATATTGAGCAAATTAAAATTGGATATTAATACTTTCCATGAATTTTATAATTGGCTGAAAAATATAAAGCATTCAGAATAATTGCAGAGATTTGTGTACAGGGCTTTTTTTTTTTAATCCTTCACAGAAACCCTTCTGCATTTCTAACAACAGGGTCCTGAAAGTCTCTCATTAATTTTAATATTTACTAAACGCAAAGAAGCCCAAGCTCTTGTTTTCCCTTCTGTACACAGATCCTTCTGAGGCTTTCGCTATTGCTAATTATTGTGTTTTTCTTTTATTTTTTCTTTTCTTTTCTTTTCTTTTCTTTTTTTTTTTTTTGAGTATAAGATCATTTAAGCAAAGAAGGGAAATGCGGGATTAAAACCAGTTCACCGGCACAAATGGAAGGTGTTTTTTTTCCCTGGCATTTGGGTGTTTCAGTTTGCGGTATAAAAGGTCAGAAAGCTCTTTGCCAGGCCATGCAGGAGGGGGAAAAAGGAGATTTTTGGGAAGGAGAAGGGCTTTCCCATCTCCAGGTGCTGCGTCTCTGCCAGGAATGGGGCTGACCCCAACCCCACCTATATCCTTAAGTATTTTCATCGTGAGATAAATATATATATACATATATGAGCAGGGAGTTGGGCTCAACGATCCTCATGGGTCCCTTCCAACTTGAGATACTCTGTGATTCTATGATATATTACATATAAAATATATATATTGATATGGTATAGTATATATAGAAATGTATATAATGATATGATACATATCCCATATACATATCACGTGTGTGTGTGTGTATATCTCTCCCTCACGTATACACGCACGTATATGCATATAAATCTCCATCGCCCTGTAAGACCCCACCAAACCCAGCATCATCCTCGCAGGGCCCCAGGACAAAATCACCTCGCCCCAGCCCCGAGGTGGATCCCCATTGCCGGTGGGGTTGTGTGTGTTGGGGCGGGGGGTCCCAGCATCCCCCCCCTCATTCCCCGAGGCCGCAGCCGGAGCTTTCCCAAAGCACCAGCCCCAAATCTTTTCTGCGAAGCCGGCGGCTCCCCGGGCTCCGACACATGGTGTCTCGTTGAAATGCAGATCGTTGGGGGGTATATGGAAGTCTTGGCTCCGAGGAGCTTCAGCTGACAGGCTTATTTGCACACTGGCTCTAAAATAACCGTGTAGGCTTTACATGACACCTTCTGTTGCTTTGGTGCAGAGAGGGGCTTTCAAGTGCCTTTCTCCGAGAGGACGGGGCGGCCGGCGTGATGGCTGGGGGGCTGCGAAAGCCCCCGCGCCCCGGCATCGCCCCGGCATCGCCTGGGCTTTGCCATCCCCAGGTTTGGAGGAATTCGGCTCTGGCAGCGCTAAATGCCAGTATAGGTGCTGCAGTACCTTGGCACGCCACCAAGTTTGGGATTCGGCTCTGAATTTGCTTCTCCAGGTGGGTTTCGGGATGGAGCATCCCAACCCCGCGGTGCCGCTCGCCGTTCCTTATCAGCCGCTGCTCTGCCGCTCCTCCGATTGTCAAACACGAGAGATGCTTTCACTCCCATTCAAAATAATTTAAATAAAAATGTTGCTACAAAGTGGAATAATATCTTTTGATGAATGTTTTTAAAGCCCTTTAGGTTTTCATGGTAATTTGCAGTGTAAAATTATTTAGAGATAAGAGCCAAATTAGCTCTTATAGGCGGAGGTCGATATGTCCCGTTATCCATGCAAGCAGTGTTTAAATATAATCAGCCTTTACTCTAATGCAGCATAATTGTTCATTTGAAATAGCTTTTTTTTTTTTACTCCATTCAATGAGTCATTAAAATATTCAAAGGATAATGCAGTGAATTGGAAATGAATTTATCACATTATCCTGTATATACTGTAGAGCATCAGGTAACTAGGCAGAGTCGGAACCAGTTTACAGAGAAACCCAGTAAACAAGGCTTTCCATTTTGTATTCAGCGGGGGAAAGAAAAAGAAGGGAGAAAATACTGCCCTTCAAATGGAAAGCTTTCCGTCTTTATTCCCCCTCCTTGGGGAGGAGGAAGGGGGAGGGAGAGAGCAGCAAATTTGTACTCCACTAAAGCCTCGCTGCTTTAACTTTATTTTTATCAAAATATGTTTGTAACAGAAAGTCGTTATGGAAACCAGTTCTGCCAGCCGGGAGAAATCCTGCGCCAGGCTGGAGCGGAGTGGGACCCACCGGGCGCTGCTGCCGCCCGGCACGGCTCGGCTCGCTCCGCCGACCCCTTCCCCGGCCGGGGACGGTTGGGGAAACTGAGGCACAGAGCTGGTCGGAGACCAGTCCAGGGTCAGATAGGGGAAATACGTCAACGCGGAGTTTGAAGGAGAGCCGTTCCCACCCCATCGCCCATCACGATAAATGGCTTTTCTCCCCGCGGTGGGTGCGCTGGGGCGCAGCCCCCGCACCCCCAGGAGCTGCGGTCGCTCCCGTGTCTTTGCAGAGCGGGGTGGGAAACCCACGGGTGCGGGACCGGTGGGTTTGGGTGCCGGGGGACCGTAGCATCCCTGCCCGGTCCCAGAGGTCCCGGCATCACCGGCGGTCCTCGCCCGCGGTGTTTGCTCCTGCGGTTGCGTTTGTCAGAGCATTTCTCCTTGCCGGTTGATAAACAGGCTCCGGGTTGCAAGTGTCACCATAGAAACAGGTGCTATCTTAAGCAAACAAGGGCTTTATTAACCTTAAAAGTTACGGGATTTTTGCACGATTAGAGGCTGGGAAGAGAGCTGCGGGGGGCCGGCTGCTCGCCCACGCGTGTGGCCCTGCACCCTGCCCCAGCGAACGTCCCCGTCCCCATCCCAAAGGGACGCTGACGCACGTGCTCTAAAGCAAACTTTTCCCCTGTAGCATGTTTATACAGCACATGGTACAGGGGTCAAGCTTATCCAAAATGCTTGGATTTATTAAAATTAATAGAGAGCAGCTGTTAATTGCCAGCTGCTGTTATTTCTGCTTTTCGGCTGCCGGGCGAAGCGCCGTATGGACACGCTGGGGACGTTTTTGCAGAACTCTTGCGATCCAGGCGCGTTCAGCATCCCAGCAGTGCCAGCTGTGGCCAGCGAGGAGAAAAATCTTGTAGGGGCAGGGAATGCTTTTTAGTGGGTTAATTGATGTTAGTGGGGAACAAAAAAATAAGCTTTTGGGTATCCTGCGGGTAGGAGGGATCCCTGTTTTGGGAGAAGCCGGAATGCCAAGGTAGTTTACCCCACCTGCGCCGGGCCTGATCCTGTCGCCATCCAGCATCCGTGGTCCCTGTGCCACTGGCTGGCTCTGCGATGCCGTGGGATCGCGGATCCCCACCGTGCCGGTGGGACCCTCCGCCTCCGTCAGGGGGAACGGGGCAGATGTAATAGCTGGTGCGGCGGTGGTGTTCCTCCTCGCGGGGGCCCTTTCGACTCTACTTTTGAGTGATTAAACCGAGGGTTTGAAAGGGAAAGAACAGAGAGAAATGTGGTTTTAATTGATGACTTGGCTCCTTGGAATAGTCAGTTCCGCGGTGTGAGTTTCTGTCGCTGCTTGTTAATGAAGCCTTTATTAATAAAAGAAAAAAAAACCTAAGGAAAACCAAAATAAGCAGAAGAGGTTGCTGCTCAGGTGTAGTTTTCTTTGCGCTTCAAGCTTCTTTGGTCCTCCATAGGCACGTGGCAAGGTTGAGTCCCCCCGAAATGCCGGCAGCCCGGCAGCGGTGGGAGCCTCGGCACTGCCGCGTTTGCCAGGACCCGGCACCAGCCCTTGGGGCACGTGTTTCCCTGATGAGGTTTGTGTCGAACAGGTTTCCCGTGAGCAGTATCCCAAGTTGAGTGTCAACTGCTATTATTCATGTTCTGCAGACAGATGGGGTTTAATTGCTGTTACTGTCAGGCGCTCTGCAAATATCAGATGAAAAGGGCTTTCTGGCTAATTGTTTTAAAATAAAAGTTCAGAAACGATGTATAGAAATTATAGTTCAAATGTGTTTTAAAGAGCAAACTGTTTATATTACCTTTAAACGTAGTCTTTAGTCAACAGCATTAGGATCAGCGAGTGAGCGTGCGATGCAGTGCCGTCCTAGGGCCTGCGACGCCGGAGTGATCTGGGAGCAGTAACGTACAGCTGTGGGAAAACCACCGCCAAAGCGTGACTGGCCCGAGCTGTGGGAGAACAGAGCTGCCTCGCTGGGGAATTTCTCGGGCAGCGTCAGAGGGAAAGCGCTGCCTTCACCGGGCTGCAGCCGAGGAAAAGAGAGAAGGGAGCTTGGGGAAGGCCAGAGCCCCCGGGATGAGCAAGCGGTGGGGAAAGGTCTCTTTGCACAAGAGCACCTGGTTGCACAAGCACATGTGTTTGCACGAGTGTGTACCTTTGCCCGAGGATATGTTTGCACGAGTACGTATCTTTGCACAAGCGCACGTGTTTGCACAAGGCCATCGCAGTCATAAGCCACGTCCTCGCGCCTCCTTGCAGCCTGTGCTAACCCGTCGCGGCCGCTCACGCTGCAGGGAACCCCCCGCCCCGCGTTTCTTTTTCCACTCTCGATGCAACGGCACGACTCCGGCAAACCTTGCTCTGCCGCCGGGATACGGTCCGGGAGCAGCCTGTCCTTGCTCTGCCCTTTGCCACCGTGGTCCGTCAGTCCGGGGGTGCTCCGTCCCTTCCCCTGCTCTGCCCGGGGGAAATTCGGTCTGCAAATCCCCCGTGCGCAAGAGGGTTAAACCCTCTTTGCGTCCCTGCAAACCCCAGCTCCGTATGAGCCGCTGCTCAGGCTTATGCTCGCCTGCCTTGTAATTAATGCTCCCAGGTAATTACACTCCCAAACCCCTTGAAAAGCTGCCACTAAGCAATTCCCCCTGGGACACAAGAGGCGCTGAACGCACACGGGGGGGATGTGTTACGGCTCTGCTGTGTGTTGGGGAACAGCCACCCCGCAGTGGGGACAGGGCTCCGTCACAGGGACCGAGCACGCTTTTTCTTGCTGCAGCCCATTTCGGGGTCGGGAGGAAAGGGGGAAAGCACCAGGTACCCCAACACCTCTAGTTCCCTGCCCTCATCCCTCACCACCGAGCCATCCTCCTCCTCCACCCTGCTCTGGGCACCCTGCACCCAGCTCAGCCCCCCCGGGCGATGCAGCACCTTCTTCTTCTGCACACAACGATGCCGAGCAAAGCGCTCGGGGCTGCGCTCGGGATGACAGGCTCTGCACAGACATGCATTATATGATTATTATCATTATATTGCCAAGGATCCATGATGAGCGAGGTGGTTACGACAGCTACAAAGAGGCTCTTGTAAGCAGGGGCTGCGAGCTGCTCGCAGTTTTTTCCCCTCAGCCCCGCACGGCCCAGGCCCGTCCCGCGGATGCTCTTGGCTTTGCTCGGGCCCTGCCGTTGCATAGGGGTGAATTTAGGGTGAAGCCGCGGTGCTAAAGCATTCAGCGTCCAGAAACCTGTCTGTTTTGGGGGTTATTTGGGATGTTTTCTTGCGCGAGACACGCAGTTTGTTGCGCTCGCTGGGAGCTGCCCCGTGAATTGGTCCCTCTGCCTTCATCTCCGCAGCAGGTATTGTCGTTATGCAGATGGGAATTAAGGTTTTTTCCTCGATGCTTCTATTTCATTTAACATGCAAAGGCTAATAATTTGTCACAATTCAATAAAGCAGAGGTTACAAACACTCTTGCTGCTGTTTATTTAAATGATGGTTTGTTAATTAGCTCCTCTTAATGAGGAGAGAATAAATCAGATAAAACGTACCAAAACGGTATGGAGATATTTTGCAGATTAATTTTATTTTCCAGCTGAGATGCTCCCAGCACCCAGCGCTCACCGGTTCCCGGCTCTGTCCCAGCCTGCTTCCCGAGCCGCAGTGCAGCTATCGGTGTGCGGAGGCACATCGTGGCACCGCTCAGCCCCGGCTGATGCTCTGTCTCGTTGCATTTTGCTCACCACGGGTCCAAAAAGGACTTTTCTGGCTCTTTTCTGCTGCTGGGCTCTGTCCCTCCGGCCTGGCCATGGCGGTGGCTGACCCTGTGGCACGCCGCGTTTCCCTCTGGTTCGGCTCACCGCTTGTTTAGTCTAAGGCTGATGAAGGGGGAAAATAAAAATTAGATCAAGAATAAAGTTTTGCCGATGCAATTGGGAGTTTGGGGCAGGTTTACCCATCACCGTCAGCCAGAGCTGAGCTCTGATTTCATCGCTGGCCCCGCGGAGAGCACTTTGCTCCCATCGGCGTTGTGTCCCCGCCACCCCGGGGATGTTTCATATATAGTCTATGAAATGTGTCCGGGGACGGGATGTCTTGCAAACTCTTGTCCGCGTCCCCCCGCGAGCATCCGGGGATCCCCGCGGCGGTGGCCGGAGAAGAGTGGCAGGGTTGTGCGTTCGCCGAGTCTACCTTGCGGAAGAGACGCTAATCAATGATTAATCGGGCATGTGTGGTTGTGTGGGAGCGATTTGTGTTGGAGGAGGGAACTCCTACAGCACCCCGGTCATGAATCATTTGAAAGGCAAATTTGTGCAGTTACCAAGGGAACGGAAGAAAGGAAGGGACTTCCCTTGCCGAAATGACTCGCGCTCTGATGCGGCTGAGAAAATCGCTCCAAAAAAAAAATTAAAAAAAAAAAAGGGAAAAAAAAAAAAAAAGGGAGAAAAAAAAAGGAGTCGAAGCTGTGACTAAGCAGCAGAAGTTATGTAAAGCGCTCGCTGGGAAGTGCAGGGGAGGGACAGCACATCCTGCCGCTGCCCACGGCGGTGGCGGGGGGCGGCCGTCGGCCCCCTTCTCGCCTCCCCGGGGAGCGGGGGCGAAGCCGCGCCGGCTGGCCTGCTCCTCGCCTCTTGCCCTTGCTCACGCAGGTGCTTATAAAGGCTGGGTACCCTGCCTCGGTGCCCACGCTGGAGTGGGGCATCGTCCCCGGGGCTGGGACCAGGCACCCTCATCCCACACCTCTGCGTCACCCTCGGTCGCGGGTCCCTAGGGAGTGGGTGCTGCAGCCGGCATTGCACTGGGAAAACGTCTTTGCTTCGGCCAGGGGGGGAGTTTTGGGGTGTTCTGGGGGATGGTGCGCCCCGCCGTGTGCTGCAGCATCACCCGTCAGCCGGACGGGCGCGTGGAGCTAGGCTGTTTCTGTAGGGAATGGGCTGATGTGGGAAATGATGCTGCAAACTTCGTGCATGGTGATGCTCTTGGTGGCAGCCAGTTTGGCACGTCTCTGCTGGGGCCGGGGCCAGGCTCGTGGTCGAGGGTGGGATCCTCTGCTCTGCTCCCTGTGGGTGCTCAGGCAAGGGCCAAATACTCGGTTTGGGGCTTGGCATGCAAATTTCATGGTGCTTGGTATCCAAATTTAATGGTGCTCGGCATCCGAATTTAACAGTGCTCGGCACCCAAATTTAATGGTGCTCGCCCAAATTTAGGGATGCTCATCCAAAGGGCGTTAAAGCACGTGCACGGCAGAGGCACCGACCGCTCCTCCGTGGCAAGGGGACGGGCGAGGCACAAACACGCACCTTAAAAACTCAGAAATCCGGTTTCCCTCTGAAAACGCGACCCCAGGGCTGCGCAAGGGGGAACACCAAAGACCCGGGGCCGCGGCAGCGAGATCCGCAGCAGCATCTCGGCAGAGCCCCAACCACGCCGGGAAGATGCTTTGGGATCTTTCCAGCTTCCGCTCGGGAGCCCCCGAGCCCGGCGGGGAGCCGCAATATCTCCCGAAAAGGGAATGCAGAGGCAGCTGCACGGTGAAGGAAAACCCTCTCCCTGCCCTCCCCTGGTGCCACAGACAACCGGTGTCTGAGCGATTAGTCACCGCGATAGCGCCGAGGCTTCCCTCCTCCACAGCAGAGCCTGTCCCCCCACACAGGCAAGCCAGCTGAATGCTTAATTGGAGTTCCTCACACCTACCGGGGTGTAGCCTTAAACGAAGTGACAGCGCGATCAAAGCGCTGGAGTCAGACCCTGGGAGCTGTGGGTTGCTATGGAGTTTCTGGCTTCTGATTTTAAAAGAAAGGGAGGAAAGAAAAAATTATCTATCTATCTATCTATCTCTATATCTGTGTAGCAATCCCAACCCCAAACCTGCGGATGCTGCCGGCGGAGCAGCGTGGTTGGGGCAGGGAGGCTGCGGGGCTGGTCCTTGGGGGGGTCTTCTCCTCGATGGGGTGCTCGACCCCAAAAAGGTGCTTTCTGCCCCGTAAAGCTGACAGCAGAGCCAAAGGAGATTTGGTGGTGGTTAAGAAACCCCATGAGGCTCCTGCATCATGTGTATGGGGAGGGGGGAGGGAAGCTCAGCGTGGCAGAGAGCATCCCACGGGATCCAGCCGAGGCTTTTACTCCCCAATTACTTTTGGGACCGTCTCAGATGCATCAGGAAAGTCACCAGCAAACGTGTCCCCAGGGTGGGAGGCCTGTCCCCGCACCAGCCCCCGCGGCTGGGTTAGCTCACCTGGAGGTGGCAGGGCTGGAGTTTGACCAAAGGATTAATTTTTTCTGTCTGAAATTCACAGTGAGGACTTTAAGCTGATTAAAGCCGGTTTCTCACCCCGGTGAGGCCACGCACCGCGGTCTGCTTTGATCACTCAGGGGACAGTGAAGCAGCGGGACCCCCATAGATGGGGATGCCCGTGTCCCCCTGCTCCGTAGCACCCCATCACCCGTCACCTACGGCTTCATATTCCTCCGAAAGATGTTTGGGCTTAACTTGCAGAGGCCTTAAATTGCAGTGAGTGGGTACCGGGACCTGAGCCCCCGATGCTGCCCATCGCCTGGGGGAGCTGGGAGATTGGCTTTCGTTCAGGAGAGGGAAATTACAGCTTCATTCCCGTCAGGAACAACTTCTCTTCCCCAAAACAGAGGCACCGGGCAGGAGGGAAACAGGATATCGTTTGTGGTTTCATGAAAAAGTCGTCTTTTTTTTTCATTCTTGTTGCTTTGGGTTCTATTTAAAATTTGGGTATTCTGAGACAGAAAGTTATTTCAAAAGGGCGAAAACGTGTCAAGTTCCAGAAAATGGTGAAATCAGCTCGATGGCAGCTTTTTTTTTGGAAACACAGTTCTCTCCCAAATCCTCCCAGATCAGTGCCATGGCCGGCGCAGGATCTGGCCCCATCCCCCTCCATCCTGCCCTTGCTTCGGTGCTGCATGAAGGAGCATCCCTGGTACCAAAATGCCATTTTTTTCACCCCAATCCCTCCACCAGCTGTTGGCCCCGGGGGATTCGCAACCCAGCGCTGTGCCGGGGCCTCTCCGCTGCCTTGAGCCCGACCCCAGATACCTGCGCGTGGGCAGGGACGATCGTTGAAGCCCCATCGATCCCGTCTGCCAACCGCCCAGCGCTGCCCCAGCAAAAGGGCCCTTCATCGATAAAGCATCAACTCTCGCAGGGTGCTACCGGCAGGCTTAAAAAGATCATCTCGAAGCGAGGGCTTTTGGTTCTCACCGATTAATTAGTGCATTGTAAATGACTCGGAAAGGAGGTGACCGGTAAATGCGAGAGCAATTAAATCTGCAGCGCCCGTGCCCCTCCGACCCCTCTCCCGATGCATCGATCTCGCTCGGCAGCCTCTGGGGAAGCGATGGGGTGGGCTGAGTCGGGATCGCGTCCCCCTGGCATTGGGAAAAAAGGCTTTTCCCAGGCTGGGATCCACTTCTGCCTCTCCAGGCAGGCGCAGCTGGCCGGCTCACCTCTCCCCTGCAAAATGCAATGGGTTTATTCCCCGCTGTTTCTGAACGAGGGCCGGAACAAGGTAGGAGAGCGAGGAAAACCCTCCGCTGGCTTCCCTTGATGAACTGAGCTAATTTCTCTCTTAATGGTTAGCTACTGAGCTGAATGTGAGGCTTTCCTCCTGCACAGCAAACCCTCTCCCACACACAGACAAATAGGCTGAATATTTAATTGGAATTCCTCACACCTACAGGGTAAAGCCTTGTCAGTAGAAATATAGCCCATCGCCAGCTGGCATCCCCGCACGCCACCCACCTTATCTCTTAAAAAGAAATCCCTCCCCGTCCTCCTCCCTTCGCCACACACCCACGGGCCCCCCCCCGGCCGTGGGAGGATGCTGCCCTCCCAATGTTGCCCCCGCTCCCCGGGGCGCCCTCTCGGGGATGGGGATGCTGTGGGAGGGTGCTCGGGCAGAGCCTGTCCCGATGGCCATCGTGCCAGGAGAGATGCCCGTTGCCCATCATCTGCTGTACCGCGAAGGCACAACCCTCACCGGACCAGCCTGCATAGAGCTGCTGGAGCAAGATTCCCCCCACCCCGGGGGATAGTGGGGACCCCACTGCTGTCCCAGGGTGGTGGCAGGGGACCGAGAGCACCAGAGGGCACTGCCGATCTGTCTGCCCACACCTTGCCCTGCCAGTGCCAGCGTGATGAAATGCTGGGCGAAGCGTTGCCCGATATTCCGGGAGAGCAGGCAGCGTGCCCGAGGTGGTGGCTGGCAGGGGGGTGTGTAAGCCCCCCGTTTGCAAGCCCCGGAGCCTCCCAGGTATGAAGACCACCGTGCCCGCTCCGAAAATGACTCTCCCTCCCTTTCCCATGCTGTCCCAACCGGCGTGGGATGTAACCCTGCGGCATCGAGTGCTGCTGTCGAGTTGATGGGGATGCGGGAGCTGAAGCCCTGCCTGCAAGGTGCCCCCATCCCGGTGGGCAGGGGATGGGCTGGGGCTCTGCGCAGTCCCTTGTGGCTGCAAGTGCTGATACCCCAGCCCACAGGAACCCCTCAATTCAGATTTTCCAGGGATGGCTGAAGCCGGCGGCTGATGGGGGACGAGGAGGGAGCCCGTGTCCTCCCCGTGCACCAGCCCGGGGAGCAGCCGGGTGCGAAGGCAGAACATGGCACTGGTCCCGCAGCAGCACGGCATGGCTGAAACCCTAACAAACCAGCCAGACCCTCGCCTTTTTTCCTGGAAAGATAAGGGATGAGGCTGTGTGCTCGCAGCTGGAGCACATGTGTGTACACACCAGGGAGTCGAGGGTTTTGGGATCCCGCAGCTTCTGGGTGTGATGAAAGGGCAGAGATAGGCACTGGGCTGCTGGGCGAGGGGATGCTCAATCCCATTCAGGGATGCTCGATCCCA